TTTTTTCATATTTTTATTTAAAATTTATTTTCAAATTTCTTAAGTTAATACACTTTTAAGTCAATTAATGCAAACTCACACATAGATCTCATATGCAAACTTCAAATATACGACCTATTAGTTGATAGTCAAAGCTCTCAACCAACAGATCAAGATGAACTGCGTATATTCATCATTTTCATATCCTAAAACTTACCTACCATCGTCTCAAGACTTTAAAAACCACCCTAACCCTTACAAAATATCAAATCATACCCTTTAGCCTTTCCACAAAATCATAACTCATGCTATCCACCTGCAGTGATCGGTTTAAAAAATAAAAAAAAAAAATAATAATAATAAATAAATAAATCACTACTTCTTTGCCTCATATACATATGTATATATTAATAAAAAAAATTTAAGAAATACGAAAATAGTCATTCTTCCCTTTTTTTAAATCCTTCTATATTAATCATAAACTCTACATCATTGCCACATTCTCAAACAGAATTTTGACGTTTTTCTTCCTTAGTTTATATCTAAAATTTTCTTAGTCATTGAAAATCATTTATGGAAATTTTTCTAGATTAAAAAATCCATTGAAAAAACCTTTTTTGACAGATTTTAATCATTTTATATTGAATTTTTTCGTCGGATACCAATTGTTTTCTTACAATAAAAGAAATTAATCTGTTATATTTGAAATAATTATACACTCAGTTTTCATCAAACTAAATAACCCCTAAAACTATTGGATATATTTTAAAGTGAGTTTAATATAGAAAATATTTCAATTATATTTTTCGCTGATAATATTCTTCTTGTTGATAATTATATAGACAAAATTGAACGAAAACATGAATTGTGGAAGTCAACCTTAGAGTCTACAGATTTTTTATTGAGTAGATCTAAAACCAAATACATGCACTACAAAAAAACAGTATTTTTCACATCAGTTATTAGGAGCGGTTTTTAAACCGCTGTAAAAATACTTATTTTGCATCGGTTTTAACCAGTACAAATTGCACCGGTTAAAGCCGGTGCAATTTACACCGGATACAACCGCAACTAAAACCCCACCCACTATTCTTAAACTGAATCCCTAATTTCTTCTCCTCGCGTTCATCTTTCGTCCGTGACTCTACGCCTGGAGTGAACTACCGCTCGAGATTCACAATTCTTCTCTTCACTCGTGGACCCATCCCGGCAGGCCGGCCCTTCCTCATTGTCAGTCGGTACCCCTTCTTCTTCTTTTCCTTCTTCTTCTTCTTCTTATTCATATTCTTCTCCCTCTTCTTCTCATTCTTCTTCTTGTTTCTTTACCCTAATCCCTTAAATCAGAAAAGGATATTTTGTAATTTGTTTTAAAACTGAAACCCAAAGTTTATTTCAATCTTTTATTGAGAAACTAGATAATGTTTTCAACGATTGACAGCAATGTTCTAGAGATCACCATGGCGGTTTTAATCGGTACGAGACACCAGATTTGTGCCGGTTAAAACCGCCACAATTATAAAAACATGTTCATATTGGATGAATTTGCATCGGTTTTAATCGGCACAAATCTGCTTATTTGTACCAGTTATAACTGCTGCAAAAGCAAGCGATTCGCAACTACTACCCTGCCGGTCGTAAAATCGCTACTGAATGTCGTTTTAACCGCCACAATTTCCTAGAACCGCTGCAAAGGAAATTGTGGCGGTTAAAACCACCGAGATAGCTCAAAATTTGTGCTGCGATTACCTTATTTTTTGATAGTGATGGAGTGCCATTTTAGTAATAATACATTAGTAGGTGGATTGCGACTTTGGGCAAAAAGTCATTAAATAGTGTACACGTTTTAGATATCTCGAAATTATTGTTCAAAGTAATGTTGAAGTAGATGATGATATCATTAGTAGAATTCAAGTTGGACGATTGAAGTGGAGCTATACAACAGACCTATTGTGTGATAGAAAAGCACCCCTTAAACATAAGGGAAATTTCTATTAGATGGTGATGAAACCTGCAATGCTTTATGGCACAAATATTGGCTATTAAAATATAAGCATAAAATAAAGTTGAGTGTTGAAGAGATGAGAACACTCAGATGGATGAGTAGCTTCACACTTAGAGACATAATGTGAAATGACTATATACGTGAGAAAGTTAGAGTAGCTCCAGTGGCAAATAAGATTAAAAAGAGCCGCCTTAGATGATTTGGTCACTTAAAACCTCGGCATTTGTATGACCCAGTTAGAAGAATAGATATATTAGATCCAACTTTTTAGTTAAAAAAGACAGAAGTAAATCTAAAAATGCTTAATTAGGAATTATTAAAAATTATCTTTTTTTATTATATTAAATGAGATAAAGACTTGATATTATTGTTGTCGCCGTCGAATATACGTTTACACCCTAATTTTTTAAAATAATTAAGCTTAGATCCTTTCCTTATGGGCTCACCATAATTAAAGTTATCTCATTTTTCAACACAATTCCTATCATATCTCTTCCTCAATTGACAAATAAAAAATTAATAAAGTAAATATAAAAAATCTAACTTTACCATATTAATATTTACGAGATCTCCCTTTCGAAAAATAAATCCTTTGGAAAATATATTCTATTATCACGACGAGAATGACACGTTTGGAATGTTCTAGTACTGAGCATAAATTTTATAATTTTGATAAATAAATAAATAAATATTGTGGTTCGCCTCGTACGACGCCTCAGCTTTTTAGCGTTTGATCCGCTGTTGCTTCGAACAGCAAGCTATATTCGACCGAATCAGGATCGTCCATTCTTTGTCGTTGCCTAATGGACTGTGAGAGGAATCAGCGAACTGTGCTGAACTGACATAAGGACAGTAACGTGTTCTCAAACTTAGCTATCCGGGCGCCACCTGGCCGTATAAACAGGTCCAAACTCATGAAAGCACGCCACGTGTAAATAGAAATAATAGTAAAGAAATATTCTTCGTTTTTTTTTAATTACATTTAGGCTTCGTTTGGGACGTCTTTTTATTGATTTCTAAAATAGAATTTTAGTATAAAAATAAAAAAATTTGTACTAAAACTCCGTTTGAGAAAGCAATAAAAAAACCGTCCCAAACTAAGCCTTAGGCTAATTAAGTAAAGGTACAAAATTCAAACTTAAGACTTCTTAATTCATAAATAAAACTCTCAATCAATTGATTAAAATTTTATTTGGAATGTCTTTTTTGTTGCTTATTAAAACAGCTATTTAGTACCAAAAGTTTAAAATTAAAATTTTGATACTAAAAAGCTGTTTTAAGAAAAAAAAAAAGTCATCCTAAATGAAGCCTAATGCTTCGTTTGGGACGGCTTTTTTACTGCTTTCTAAAACGGAGTTTTAATACAAAATTTTTTATTTTTGTACTAAAATTCCGTTTTAGAAAACAATAAAAAATCCGTCCCAAACGAAGCCTAAATTGAGTGTTGATTGAAGTTAGCATGTTGTCTTACGTGATCAAATAGAGAAAAAAATTAACGCAGCTCAACTTATTATATTGGTTGAGAGTTTGGCTAGTCTTAGGTACGAATCTTAGGTATGTGATATATGTGTGAGGTTGTTTTAATTGGCCTAAATGTTAAAAAAAAAGAAAAAATTATGTTTAATATAACATAAAATGTAATATAATATTAAAAATATGTCAAAATAGTATTATTTATTCATTTGTATTTTTTTATTAAATATCATTTTATTATAATCATTAATCTTCTATTTTACATTAAAGGAATTTTAATTTTTATCATATTATTTTTCAATTCTTAAACTAAATTTGTTTTTGTCTTCTTGTACATTTATATTTGTGTGAGTCTTAAGTCTTTCAAGTGAGCAAAAGATTCCTAATTAGGCCAAGAGAGTGACCCAATTACTACATATCTTTTGAAAAATTGAATTACATGTAGAATCACGAGGTAAAAATAATTTAGAGAATATGTGACACATCTAAGTTTAGCATCTGAATTGAACGGTCTTGAACCGAGGATTTTTTACTCACTTTGGGTCATTTTCAACGTCAACCTAGTTCAGAAAGTTGTCTGGATCGAGGTATGTCAAAATGCGCCTATCTTAATTTTCAAAAAGTACGCAAATTTTATTTTAACATACCTATAATTTTCTATCAATAAAAACTTAACAATTTTAGAAACTCTAGTTATAAAATTTTCAGAAAATAGACAAAACGTTCATCATATTAATCTCTATAACAAGTAAAAAATTACGCAGTGAAAATTTTACCATTGCAAGATTATCCGCATTTTTCGCTAAAAAAAATATAAATTTAATCAAAAATTTTGATAAAAAGTGCGTATTTTTAAAAAATGAAATAGACTTATCATGACCCACCTCGATCCAGATAACTTTATGAACAAGGACGATAACTGAAAATGATCTGAAGCGGCTAAAAAATCATCTTCTTCCTCCCCAAAATCTTCTTCTTACGGCTTTTTCCAATCAACTCAAAATAAGCCAATTCAGATATTAAACCTGGAAGTGTCACATATTCTTTAGATCATTTTTACCTCAATATTCTCCTTGTTATTCAATTTTTCAGAAGAGATATAATAATTGGGTCACTCTTTGCCTAATCAATAATCTTTTACTCTCAACTAACATACTATGTTGAATTGCGTTAAACTTTTTCTTGATTTTGACTTCGTTTGGGGCGGCTTTCTTACTGCTTCTTAAAGCGGTTTTCTAATATAAAAATTAAAATATTTGTACTATAAAACTGCTTTAAGAAACAGAAAGAAAACCGTTCCAAATGAAACCTTAATCAGTTAAGATAAAATACTAACTTCAATTAATATATAATTAAAAATACAACTCAACTTGATCTAATGATTGAAAACTTTGATTATTAAATAAGAAATTTTGAAAATATACATTTTTTAATAGAATAATAAAAATATATTATTAATTTATTATAAACCAACAACAAAAAATATAAGCAACCGACTTGTATACGTTCACCTATATATACACAGGCCTGAATGGCTGAATGCTCCACAGAATTCTTGAAACGGCGTCAATTCTTCAATTCCGTTGGTGTCATCGCTAACCGCAGTCAGCGTCAAGCGTCAGTGTAGTTAAACAAAGCGCCATCCGCTTTATATTCTCCAGTCCTTTCTCCATTGTTCGGCGTGCAGAACGGTGATGGAGGAGATTCTTCGAAAACCGACGGTGGAGGTGCCGTCGTGGTCGCCGTTCGACGATCATTTGAACGGAATGGAGTTGCACCTGCCGGTTAGCGGAATATCCGGCGAGTATTTACTGACGGAAGCGGCGCTTGCTGAACTTCAGTGCTATCTTCCCCTTAACGAAGTGATGGCGGAAGCCGACGAGATGGAAGAACTGACCGACCTTCCGGTTGACAAATACTCCTCCGATGAGTTCCGGATGTACGAGTTCAAGATCCGGCGGTGTACGCGGAGCCGGTCGCACGACTGGACCGAATGCCCGTACGCTCATCCCGGCGAGAAAGCTCGCCGCCGGGATCCGAGAAATCACCAGTATTCTGGCGTGGCGTGCCCTGATTTTCGAAAGGGGAATTGTAAGAAGGGCGATACATGTGAGTTCGCGCATGGAGTTTTCGAGTGTTGGCTTCATCCGGCGAGGTACCGTACCCAGCACTGCAAAGACGGTACGGCTTGTCGCCGGCGGGTATGCTTCTTCGCGCACACGCCGGAGCAGCTCCGAGTTCTGCCGATTCAGTTACAGCAGATTTCCCGAGCGATTGATTCTTATGACGGGTCGCCGCAGAGGAACCAAACACTAGATGCGTATTTCCCAAAGGGGGTGATCCCATCCTCGCCAACATCGACTCTGATCTCGCCGCCGATGTCGTCGCCGGCGAGCTCGCCGCCCGTGTCGCCCAGTGGGGTGCGGATTCGTCGGGCGACGTGGCAGATGGGGTCCGCGGTGAACGAGGTAATAGCGTCGCTTGGTAAGCTGCATTTGAGGAAGATTGGGGGTGGGCTGAGTGCTTCCGTTGTTGGGTTTAGGCCCATGTTCTGTAGTTTGCCTAGTTCTCCGCCTCCGGCGGCGACGGCCGCCGTCGGTCGTGGATGGCTGGATGTAGAGAGGGTTCGGGAGAAGGACGAGGTCGTGGCATGGGTGGAGTCCGGGCGACCTCTTCGGGCTAAGATGTATGAGAGGATGAGCAAGGAGAGCGGGTTGACCCGGCCCGAAACCGGCCCGACGTTGGCGTCTGATCCGGACTTTGGGTGGGTTTCCGAGCTCATCAAGTGAGCAGAGAGAAGCAGGATAATTCAAAGAAGCGCGCGTGCTGTTATGGTATTTTTGTAAATACGCGAATGATTTTATTTGGATCTGACGGCCCATAAAGCTGTAGATGGTGGGGCGTTGATGTTATCGATTTTTAACTACCATTATAGTGTTTATGAGTTATTCGAGTGAAGAGATGTGTATCGTTTTAGTTATGTTCTATCGTATTAATTATATTTTGGCTATTTGCTTTAAATATTTTATATGTAATTATCGGGCAATTATTTCTTGAAATTAAATGTAAATCATGCTTTTATTTATTAAGGCTTCGGTTGGAACATCTTTCGATCATTTTTTTTCCTATTTTTAAGAAATTTTTTTACTAAAAAATAGCTTTATGAAGCAATAAGAAAACCGTCACAAATGAAGCAATGAATGGCTTTCTTACTATTTCTTAAAGCAGCTTTTTAGTATAAAAATTAAAATGGTTGTACTGCATGATTGTTTTAAGAAACAGTAAAAAATTGTCACAAACGAAACATAAATCGTGCATTTGAATTGATAAACTAAGCCAATGTTTATGTGGTTTGGCTTACTCAAGGAATCATGTCCGCGCCTAAGCACATCTAGTATTTAAGATTCCACTGTTCTTGAGTAATAACTCCACTCATTTTGGGGTATTGCATCATCACCTTCATTGTCAACAAAGAAATCATCTTTAAGCCTAAGCTTGGTAAACTTTCAATGGAATATCTTCCACCATCTTGACCCAATACTCTTTGTAGTCACTAAGGTTATCACCAACTATTATAAGTCTTATACAATCTAGATGCAAAATTGATTGTAAGAGATACAAAGAAACAAACTATATATATATATATATATTTGCTATATCTTTTAAAAATATCTTAAAATTACTTCATAATATAATAGAAATATTTACTTAGTTAAAATGATATTATTGTATTTTAATTTATATTTTTTAAGGGGAAAACACAAGGGGCCTATGTGTTTCACAACAGATAAAAGTATATGTCCTTAGAGGATCAACAACTCTCTAAACATACAACCTTTGAAATAAAACCTATGAACTAATGATCCAACTAAATACAATCAAGTGAACTGAAAAATAAAGTTAATATAACATGACTGAAAAATAACTTAAACCAAAACAGGCAAATAATATAAGGAGCCACTGCACCAACATATTATATGCACAAACACAAACAACCACCTAATAAACAATCCATAATAACAACCTTGATAAGCCTCAACCATGAAGCCTCAACACCCACACAACCAACAAAAACCAGGAAATAAAATTCCCTAACAATAAGGGGACAACCATCAGGATGTGAAACCACAAGCCCCAGCCACATGACACACACCCAACCCATTAACATCTGCACGAAAACCACTGGCCCAAGCATTAAACACATAGAAAGTCAGGCTCCAAACAACCAAAGGGACGGAACACCATTATCTTTTAGATTTGCGCATACGATGCTTACCAACATGAGAGAAAGAGTTATCCAAGACTTAACTCACATCCAGTCCATACAGCTCATGAAATGAATTAGCATTCTCAACCCGCATATCATCCTCAACCTCACAAGGATAAACCAGAGACTTGTCAAACCAGTCAGATTGCACCAAATAAGTGTCCCCCGATTTAGATATCAACTGAGCATTTAGAACATTAGGCGAAATTAGACCAATAGGGACATCAACAAGAGGTTCACTACCTTCAGTCCCCATAGGAGTGGGCGAACATACCGAGTCAATATTATCCAAAGGATAATCAGCAGAATCCATATCATCAAACAATTTATTAACCACCATCATGTTAGCTTGACAAATATCCCTATCCACCTCACGCCCATCAACCACATCAACATGAGCCAAAGCAATAGCACAATCCCTCATATAATCAACACCAACTAGAGCCACACCTTGAGATAACTCCATACTGGCCACATAAATATCCACATTATGACATATAACACCATCAGAGTTATGAATAATATTATCACAATGGACCTAGGCCAAAACATGCACAACCTATTGCCCCACAACATTAAGCAAAGATGAATCATCACCAACAATATCTTGAACAACACAATTCAAATCTTTAAGAACCACCCCATCAGTGACATTAACAGGAGGATTATTAATACTGTTGCGGACTAGAATATACGCGGTGATAGAGTTAAAAAGCTTTCATCTCAGTATTCTACAAATATTCAGTACACAAACAGAAGATGAAAAAACACTAGGATTTTTATGTGGAAAATCCTGAAAAGGGGAAAACTACGGGGACATGCCTAGTTGAAAGAATTTCATTAGTATTTGCTTGAGATACAATAGGCTGACTTGTCCTTAAAATTTATGACGATTAAATTGCAATGATCCACTTCTGGGTTGAAATCCAGTTACAAACAAGTTGTGTATTTGAGATGAATTCAGAATCACTTGAAGATTAAACAGAATTCTGGCGTCACTTGGAGATCGGGCAGAGTTCTGACGTCACTGGAAAGTCGGGTAAAATTCTGGTGTCAGTGTGGAAGTTGGACAGAATTCTGACATCCCATGAAAGTCGGGCAGAATTCTGGTGTCAAGTGGAAGTCAGGCAAAATTCTCGCGATGATCGAGAAGGAGTTTCTTCCCTCCTATCCTTCTTCTCTTCTCTTCTCATTCTCCTCTTCTTCTTCTTGCTTTGATCCCCTTTCAAGAGAAATGAGAGGTCTATTTATAGATTTTTGGAGTGGCATGACCCATAAATAGGTGTTAGGTCATGGGTAAATATGGAGTTGTTGGATGGAAGGTCGATATAGAATCCCTTGATCATGTATCGTTCGTCAGATATTTGAAGGTCTTAATGATGTCGGAATTTAGTGATCTTGAGCTCATTGGATTCGTCTTGTAGATCCGCTCAATTTGACTATAAGCACATTTTGTTTGTAAACTATTTGGTAACTCAAATTATGGTTCAAACTTTCCAACATCACTTTAGGTCCTTGATTTGGACTCATTTGGGCTCGGATTAAGTGGAATTTGGTGTCGTTGGGTTCATATTTCTGAGACATTCAATTCGACTATAAGTTTGCTGAAATTGAAGCTCAGATGGTCCCAATTTTAATCTCCAAAGTTTCCAATTTAATTTTGCATCAAAATTCGTACCCGATTAAGATAATGTTTTGATGATATATCAAATACCAACAAGACCTTGTGAATAAGAAATTTCAGCTTACCCGGCTCGCGACGCGGTCCGCCCGCGGCCATGCCTGCTTGGCCCTCGCAGCCGGCCCACACGCGGCCCCTCTTGGCCATTACGCGGCCCGGCCGGCCCGTGCCTGGCCCGCGTTGTGCCAGGCGTCGTTTCGGGCCAGCCGTTGGCGGTTCCCCAATCCGCTAGTTATTTTAATTAGTTTTTTTTTAACTCAAAAAATTCCTAAAAAAACAAACAAAAAATTCCTAAAAAATCCAAAAAAATATGGAAGCTTTCGGAAGCTTCTCTTTTCCTCCAAAAATACTATAAATACCCCCCTAGGGCTAGGGGGAACTTGTACCTTTTTCCTTTCTCCCTCTGACTTTCTTACAGCCGAGGCATTCCGTTATTTTATGTAGGTGACTTTCCCCAATTAATTTAGCTCCCCTTCTCTTGTATAGAAGTTGGAAATTCTTCTTATTTTTCCTTCTTTCTCCCCTATTTTTCCTTCATGTTCTAGAGGCTTTCTGCCATCTTTCATAGGTGACTTTCTCTACTTAAATTTAATGCTCCTCTTTAATATAGAAGTTGAAATGGGTTATCACACGTCCAAAAGAAATCTCTTGGCCAAAGAAGATAGCCCTGTTGCCCAATCTGAGGGTTTAAAAAAGACTCACAAGGCAGGGAAGACGAATGGTGTTATCTCCACCATAACTAGCAACTCTTTCATTGCTTTTAGGAAAAAAAAATATTTTCCTAATGATCTTGTGATGAAGGTACTAACAAGGTATGATCATCCTCATTCTCCTCCTCCGGGATATGTGATGGTGTATGAATTTAGTTTGTGAGCGAGGCTACGGTTTCCACCATCGCCTAAGTTGATTGATATTTTGACGATTTGTGGAGTGAGTTTATCCCAACTTTTTTACAGAGTCATGTCGATCATAATGGGACTGATCATACTTTTTAGAGATCATGGAGTGGTGTTATATTCATAATGCCTTTCTCGAATGAGGTGACTTATTAATGATATGTAGGGTCGTATCTCCTTTAAATCCAAGTGGCTGGATTTTTGTACTCAAGATCCGTCAAAAGGTTAAATCAATGACTTCTTTTTTGTGCAAAATGACTAGAATCTCCAAGAAAATTAAGAAAAGTTGAAGGTGTTACCCATTCTCCAACATATTAGAGTAGAGGATTTATTAAAGATACTTAAATTTTCTTATATTGACGCCCTTCATTATGAGGTGTGTTATTTGAGCAGATATATAGACGAAGAATACTTGTTCAAGGTTGGACTATCTACTCAAGCAGGAAGATCGCATGCATAAATGCTAAAGAAGTTTGTGAAAGTTCTAGAGGCAATTCTCCAACCTTCAAAAATTCATTCTAAATGACCAGGGAGTGAGGGTGATTTGCATGCATAAAAAAAGAATAAGGCAAAGAAAATTTTGACAGTCACTAGCAAAGGTCATCGTATCTCTCCATCCAAGTCATACATTCCATAAGATATTTTGAAACATCAGTGTGTTGGCCATCGATGGGCTGAGGAGTTGGTGAGTTCACTTTTTTTACTTTCCTTTTATATTTTTTTATAAGATATCTCTTACAAAATTTTATTTTTGTTGCTTTAATTGGAGTAGCACATGGATTTCAAGCTTGAAATGACCAAGACCTTGAATGACTGAAATAATGAATTTGTAAAGGTTAAATACCTTTAGGAAGAATACAAGAAAAAATATAATGGTAAAGTCAAGGAGATGCAAGGGTGGAAGAGCAGTTAGCAGAGTGTAGATGAGAGATGGATAACATGATAACTTCAACCTCTTCATAGAATTAACAAATAGATCGTCTACATATAGAGTTGGTGGATCCGTAGGCGATGATCAACAAATAAATAAAAGATCAGCATATCTTTAAAACTTAGAATAAGAAGCTCCAGAGTATGTTATCAGAGAAGGAAGCATAGTAGTTATCGTCTATAGTCATATAAGAATTCAAAAAATCTTTTTCCTTTAAGATAATTGTTGAGGATCATGTTTAGGAAGCTCACAATCATATCTATGACGTGATGGTGAAGGCTTTAGAAGCAGAGTGTATGGAGAAGGGCTT